CCCATGCTTAAAATGTAAAAGCCCATCTCTAACCCATTCAAATCAATGGCAATCCATCCATGGACAATAACAGAAAGAGGGTCTTTTAACAGCTTGCAGCCTCATATTTTTATCCTATATAGCTTCAAATTATATTGTGACGTTGGAAGGACAGCTGAAGTCAAAACCTTCTTCTGAGAAGGTGCGTGACAGTATACAATCTTCTGCTTCCTACATGAACAAGCAGTTTTACCCTTTGCATTAACGTGTGCACTCAGCACAAAGTCAAACCGGAGTAATTTCTGAGTTCTAACTTTGTGAACAAGAGGACAATAAAGCTATTGGAAATCCAGTACTGAGTTGCCTCTCCAAGGTCGGCTCTTGCAGACTAAGCTCAGACCCTTCAGTCTCCAGCACAGACCTTCAGCCTCCAAATGCTCCTCAGCGATGCCAGTCTGTGTTTTGGTGTCATCTCATGACCTAGGAAATGGCAGTTCCGTCCCCGCTCGTATCATCAGCAGAAGCAGCACGCTCAGAGCCGGCAGCGAGCTGAGCCAGGAGGCTCCTCCGCACCAGGGATGGAGAGCAGGAAAGATGCACGGGCTGTTCCAGAGATCAAATTGTCCAGCAACCTGCTTTTGCAGAGCAGTGCTCTTTGTAGCACAGTCCCTGCTTCTCCCAGAGTGTACAGAAAGCTGTAAAAATAGCAAGCCTGCTTTTCCCATGATGCTTGATGAATCTCAGATTTTCATTTGGACATCTCTCCTCTTTACTCAGGCCTTTTGCTTTTGAGATAGGGCTAAACTGTTGGGAAAAAAAAGAGGACTAATTTACTCTGGTTTACTCTTCCACTAAAACACTAGCAAGTCCAGGAGCAAGCTGCCACATTGTCATTTCAAATCCGTTGCCTGCAGTAGGTCAGAAACATGACCTGACATAATGGCTATTTGCTGGTTCTTTAGGTGTAAAAGATCTGCAGGCTTAGATCAACTAGCTGCAAGACAGACCTAGATATACAATATACAGACCTCCCACCAATAGCCACTAACACTGTTTGACATACACATGAATATGCAGAAAACAAGAAACCAGAAGTATCTACTAAATTAAAAGCAAAACCCTAGAGACAAAGGAAAACAACTCCCCTAAAGAAAACACAGGGACCTGAAACTAAGGGGCTGTGCCTTTTCCTCCAGCACCCATGCACACCAAGCTCTCCCCATCTTCACAACACATACTACCATGAGAAGACAAAGAGCAAAACCTGGGGGTACCTGACCCCCAGCACTGCGGAGAGGCAGATATTCCAGCATCCCCACTGCCTTTAGTCTCACAGTTTAATCCTGTAGCGGAAACTTGCCTGCCTTCCTGTGGCGTGAAGCTGCAGATAAGGGTTCTCTGAGCCACAGTGAGATGCTGCAAATAATGAGTCCCTGGTTTCAAGCTGACAGAAAACGAGTGTCTTGTTAGAAGTTTTTCTAGGACCTGCTGTCATATAGGAAGTGTGATGAGAACACGGAAGGGCCAATGCTGGGCAGACATGCCCTATCACTGGAATAAATTCTTTTTTCTTTCCTTACAGAAATACAGACATGATATTAGGCTGTGATTTATCAAGCCATAAGCCAAACTGTTTGTACAAGTAGGGCTTAACTTCTCCTCCTGACTCTTACAGTGCTGCAGATCCTCTCCAGATAGGAGGAATCTGCATATAGCTGGGTGATTACAGGCTCCACTCTGTTCCTGTTGTTATCAGTGCAATGTTTCAAAAACCATTGCCTCAGGGGTGATGTATGATATCACCCAGTGTCAGCTGGGATGAACCAGAGAAATCGGCTAGGGAAAAAAAAATAATAGCAAAACAGCCAAACAAAACCCAAGCCCATTCTAATCAGGAATGTAACTCAAAATGCCGTTCTCATCTCCTGACAAACTAAGCATAATTACAACTTCAAAATTTATTTCTTTTTCTTTCTCATTATCACCTGAAGAAAAAAAAGATCTGTTTATTCTCCCATGTCAGGAATCATTACCAGCAGGCAGGTGTGGGACTAGCCACCCGCATCCTGCAGCTTCGGTTGCTTTAATTAACGTGCATATAATTCCATTCACGAAATGAGAGCTAAGGAGTGATGACAGATGAGATCTGATCTAAATACCGTACCACTGATGTTTTTAAAGTCCTAGTCATGTATTTTGATTTGCTAATTTAATAAATGGTTTATTTGGCATCCTGTAAATATGTATGGTTTCCAATAGAAGAGCAGCAAAAATTAGCCCAACCAATAAGAGAACTGTAATAAATATATTTCTGTATTATTAGCAGTCATTTTCAGATATTCATCCCTCTCCCAGATTATTTAAAATTAAGAAGAAAATCAGAAATCAGTGTGTGGGTGAGGCAGGGGGAGGAAGAGATGAAGACTGTGAGTCAGTGACAGGATGAGAACACACTTTTACTTTTACACTTTTAGCAAAGGCCCAGCTGAGCTGGAAAAGTAAAGGATCATCTTGAAGAACTCTGGGGAAAAAAGCAAAGGCAGAACAATAACTTTACTCCTGCTATCAAGCAAAGCCAGTGCAATTGCTGTGATAATTCTATCACTTAGAAAAAGTCAACACACTTCTTAAGGCTGCTTCCTGCTGCATTCATAAGAGAAGTTTCACTCCCTTTGCCTGAATAGGCTCTGGCTTTCCAAAAGTAATTATTTAGGATTTCCAAAACAAAGCAGGTTGCCCGACTTCCCAGGACAATTGCATAAACTGTCTACTGTCAGGGTGAACCAAGCCCTACAAACTGAAGCAATGCACAGACCTATAAACAACATACATAAACACGAGAAGCAAACCTTGCAGCTAGTAATTGTCACAGGGCATAAGTAACAACTGGAGTCATGTTGTTAGCATTGAAATGGCATTTCCTCGCGACTTTTCGTTACGTAGCAACACTTTGACACGACTATTTCTTATACGTATGTTTCAAACGTTCGCACATAGACTCAATATGTGTGACCCCATATGCCAAATCCATGTGAACTACAGCCAAGTGCAGCTTCCCCTGTCTGACAGACAGGACATAAATCTCAGTAGATATTTATACCGCTCACTGTTATCCCAGTCTAGCCTATCATCACCGTGTCTCTGTGCGATAGCTAGCTCATGAATTTCAGTTAATTGTGATAAGAAGTAGATTTATAGTGGAAGCAAAGGTCTGGCCAAGATCTGACACATGACAGCTTCCCAAACATGATTAAATTTTATGAACATCTCTATAACTAGGACTTCAAAACAGTCATCATAGTTATTGCTCTTGGGAAAATGTCAGACTCCAGTAACCCTTCTCCCAGTGTTGAACACAATGTGGATCCAGCAGTTCATGGCACCGTAGGCCAGAGCAGCCTCTGTGCCTGTTGGTGTAGTTCATCATTTGTGAGACATGCTGCTGTTTCTCCTTGCTGATAACCTTTGAATATTTGGGCCAATGTTTTCCAGACTGAATGTCCAATTCAGGGTGCACTGGAGAATCCTAACTAGAGGAAATCACCTGGTTCTTGGGGACAGCTTTAGAGGGAAAAAAATGCTTTGACCATTGAAAGCCTGTCTCTGATGTGCTTTATCTCATTAAAAAGCCTCTCAAATTCATCCGGGTTATTGTTTTTGAAAAATCAAAGTCCAGGAACAGTGAGCAGAGGCTTTGATTTTAGGTGCTATACTTCTCATCATCAAACATGACTAGGCTTCTCACAACTCCTTGCCAAGCCAAGCACATACCTTTCCCACAGAGTGAATGGGCCCAAGGGCAAAGGTATTAATTGGAAAAGGGAAACTGAGCCTTCCTCCTCCCTCCTCATCAGATCATGTGCCTCCCGCCAGTCAGGGACTGAGTGAGGAAATGGGCCGGCAACAGGCAGCGCAGAAAGAGGACTGCCAGGATAAAGGCAGTGGGGCAGGGAGCCAAGAGACAGATGGGAAGGTTGTAATTTACAGCAATTGTTATCAGTGCCTGAATAGTTTGGTGCACAGAGAAGGAGTGTGCAATGACGGAGGTGGGGGAAATCCCTCTGAGCACAGGTTTCAGCAGCAGTCGGTGATTTCCTGATGCTCTTCTTGCCTCGGTCCCCGGTTCACTGAAACCTGGAGCAGGAGAATGGAAAGTGCAGTGCGAACTGCAGTGAAGTCAGCGGGTGCTGCCCTCGATGGAGACGTGCTGTCTGATGGGACGCTCCTTGGATTCTCAAACTGGACCCAAAAATGACCAATTACTTCGTACTGTGCCTCTGCTTTCCCTGTTTAGCCATAGGCTTACAGACAATTGGTAAAGATGCACTCACTTTTTCTGTGGAGCACCTAAATATCGTGGCATGTCATTAGTTTTACATGAATTAGTTGGTCAATCAGTCAATTAGTCAATCTCGGTCCTCTGTTTCAATACTGTGTAGTTTAAATACCTTGTAGTACATGCAGACATCAGGACTGAATGATGAGAGAACACAAAACACTGCTAAGAGTGCTTTTCAGTGAAGCAACACCCATATAGGGTGCACAACAGACAAGAGTCTTGCGGAAAAGGGATTACTATCATCTAACTAATGGCTCTAGTTAAATATTGTTAAGCATGTTAGAGTAAAATTTCTGTGTCTGACCTACCTCGCTTAGCGCCAGGCCAGCTGAGTAGCAGGCTGGTGCCCTAGCAGAAGGATGAACCACTAGAAGGTTCATCTGAAAAATGCCACCTGCCAGCATGCTCCAGGGGATTTTGGTGGTAAAGCCTGCCCCTGCCAGCTTTCCCTCATCCACAGCCTCTGTATCTGCTTCAAGAAGAGCCTGTGTGGGGTGAGTAGGCAATGTCGTATGCCTGGTTACAGCGCTGCGCACTACTGGTCTTAATCCCAGCAGCAGTGACTGGGAGGCTGTTAGACAATCCCTGTTGTTGTCCTGAGCAGTGGAGGGCTCCCTACTCCCTGTGTGTGATCCCCAGCAACACACAAGCCCCAAGAAGAGAAAATGCTGCAGAGACTCACCACAGCGCAGGTGACGATCCTCAACGGGAAGGATGCTGCTGAAGTCCCAGTACTCTTCCTTCCAGCTGACAGTATTGCCCATGGCGCAGTCCAGCAGCTCTTCCAGACCCATCGCACGGTCCCACATTTGGAAGTAGTACAAGCTGCCAATGAAGCTGTTGCTTACCCGCGTGATAATGCCATCCTTTCTTTTGTGCAGATGACCCAGCACCAGGCTGCCGTTGGGTTTCAGGCACTCAGTGCTGCCAATGGTTTCGGTATGCACGAGACTACCATTGCAGTAGACCTCCAGCAGTTGTGTCCTGGTGTCCCACATGCAGCACACACTGTACCACACAAAAAGGGCCAGATCGATCTCAATGTCTCGTCTGGTGCCAAAAAGATATAGTCTCAACCGCTTGCTTTCTCCGGAGAGTCCAAGCTCTATGTCACTTGTGTCCATGGAGGTGTTGTTAGTGTCATAGGAAAACGCTGCCCAAGACCTGATGTTGGCCATCAGGTTTAGGTCAATGCACACCGTGAACTGACATAGCTGAGGGATGCCGAAGTTGATCAGAGACACATACTCATCATTCCTTCCGAGTAAATCCAGTCTTTCTCTATGCAGATAACGTGTTTCTGTAAGGAAATGGCATTAGGAAAGAGGGTAAAGAAGGGAAATGAAGTGTTACTTCCAAAGAAAAAACTGCAATATGACCTCATTTGGGTACTTTGCTGAATGACGATTAAATAATTAAAAGTTTCTTCTATTTGTAGTTTGTTCTGCCTTTGAAATTTAATCCTGAGACCATTTACACTACCAGTAAAGATAAGATGAGTTTAATTCTGCAAAGGAGAAGCTGAAGTCCTCAAGACAAGCCAAATAGGAATCAATACAGAATTCAGTTCTAGGGTCCACATGGTCCAGTATCAGTACAGGTGCCCAGTGCAAAGGTCTTGGTTCAGCACACTCTGGGTAAGGAGCTGTTAGCAGGTTTGGCTCCCAGGTGACATATCACACCCCTAACCTTCAGTTTTTAGGTCAGAGTTTCAACTAAAAATAGAAATCATAAGAACTGTCCTTTTCTCAGGCTCCAGAGAATTTTTGGGGGCATCTTTTTTCTTCATTAGTTCAAATTATCTCATTATATCTTTACAACCTACTCAAAAGGTTTTGCTGACAGAGGCAACCTCCCTGAGTAATACTAACCACAGACCTACGTGGGCAGCTAGTAACTTGCCGACATGTGGCCCCAGCTCTGACTGCAGAGTAGCAGAGTAGTAGCTGCAATGGCTTTAACTCAGCCAGCCTTTGTCCCTGCAGCAGTCTGGCAGGGACACCAGCAAGCTGTGGAGGGTCTTTCACTCTGCTTATCTGGGTTTTGCACTCCACGTTCAGTGCCTGTTGTATATCTGGACAGGAGGCAGCCCAGTGTAATCACAGAAGCATAGAGTCATAGAATGCTTTGGGTTGGAAGGGACCTTTAGAGGTCATCTAGTCCAACACCCCTGCAGTGAGCAGCGACATCTTCAACTAGATCAGGTTGCTCAAAGCTCCGTCCAACCTGACCTCAAATCTTTCCAGGGCATCTACCACCTCTAATGCTAAGAAGCGTATCTCTCTTCTGGCTCCTGGATTTGCCATGGTGTCCTGCTCAGCGGGTCCCACTGCAGTCACCGCCAGCCACAACAAAGTCCCTTCCCTGGGCATGAATCTCTGCGAACATGCACAAAGCCACAGAGCCACAGCGGTCGGCAGGCAACACGTTCAGACAGCAGCGCACAGTCACTGAAGGCAGGAGGCAGTCTTTCCACCAGCTCCATCTGCCACCAGCAAAGTGTTTCTGTAAGAGGTGAGGTGGCTCCATGTGCACCATCAGAGTGGTAAAATTTAATCAGTGTCAAATCATAACCCAGGCCCCTCCTGTGCAAATGCTCTGCATCTTTATCTTGCCATTACGCTCACGTGTTTACATGTGCTTCAATAATTCAGGATATATTTCTTCTAGATAAGAACTGCCATTATGTTGAGTCTTTTATAGCTACATCTAGGGGCTGTTCTTACAGCATTTTCCTCAAATGAATTTGAATTTTTCCAAAACGTGGTTGCCAGCTGTGCAAATCAGGTATTATAAATCCCTCAGGTCTAACCTGACCAGTAAATCTCCAGTGACTCTTTGCACTAATGATAAGGGTTATGCACATCAGGGACTGCAAAAGTAGCTGGCACTTCTCCCCATCTGCTTCTCATGCTTCAAACTGGAGGCAAGTAGGGAACGACCTAGCCGCAGAGTCTCATTCTCTGTAGGTGATCAGAAGTGATGCATTGCTGTCCTAACATAACCCTGTGCACTCGAAGTGTAAAGAGAATCTTTGTGTTACACATAACAACCCTCTGCTATCTTTCACGTCTTCCTCGGCCCTAAAACCAGCTTCACTGAACACCTCAGTGTCTCGTGGAGCATGCACCCACATCTTCATCCAGCTTCCACCACTGCAGCTCAGCTAAGATGGGGGTTTGTACCCAAGATAGTTATTTTCCCTGTGAGTGGGAGTACGTAGGACTCAGAGCAGCAGTGTATGGCATCGATTCAGTGGAGGCCCCGGGGTGGGATGGGACTTTAGCACCTCTCCACTAACACGCCAGCCTCTGCCTTAGTGGGAGGAAGCCCTTGCGCATGAAATCACATGGCCAGTGCTGGGACTGCAGAAGATCTGCGGTGGAGCTTTAGGGGATGCAGAGAGTGTAGCTACTCAGTTACAGCTCGAGGAGGGAGTAATTCATTACAGCACGAGAAAATACAGCAGTCATCTTCAGCTGTACTTTCCAGCAGCCACAGGGCCCAAAAGGGTGAGAGGCCAGCTCCCATGGGTTTCTCCAAGAGATGGGGAACCCCGTGGGATGTACCACTGGCAGAACTGGCAACTGTTCCATGAGTGACCAGAGCATCATTGCATCCCGGCAGAGACACGCTGAGAAATCCCCCTTTCAAGGGTCAGGCCTTCCAGTGTCTTACAGCAGACAAATTAGGAGCTTCTGGCCAAAGCTGAGAGAAAGTGGGTAAATTTGGCAAGACCTAGACATTAATTAATTCTTTTTATTGCGGAGGCTTTTCTGGGAAATAAATAGCTCATTTTTTCCGCGACTGCACTGTGTGCTGGAAGTGACTCCAGTGCAACAGGGTGCACTTTAGAAGCAAGAACTATCTCTGTGCCCTGCATTGTTCTTGAGGAGCAGTCAAAGAAAGAAATACAAAAACCAACATAGAACTAATTATTGTTTTGCTGGGATTTACGGTGGAGCGAAAGGGTGTTGAATGTGTTCATGAGGCACAGCTTACTGTGTTTGACTCGGGGCCTGAATTATTACTGGGGAATTTGGCTCTGCCAGTAGCTTCGTGCTTTTCCCAGAACATCACGAAGTGAGTAAATGCACAGCTCTGATTTTACAGTGACCAAAGTAAAACTAGAAAAAAGCATGCAGAAATGCAGGAAGACACCCAGGAAGGAAACAAGTGAATAATGACAAAACCAAGAGGCTTTTCATCTCCAGACATGGACAACAGCAGTGATGCAATCAAAACCTGACATTTCTCTCCTTGCCATATTTTCTCGTTTGTGCTGACTCATCTGCGGCCCAGACTGAGCCAGCATCCCAGGAGACGGCGTGCATCATGCTCAGACCTGTAGGTCTGCAGGCCAGCATATGCTCAGGGATGGACAAGGACCCCAGTACCAGTTGCAATGAGAAGAGAGAGCAAGAACAACTGCTGCACTGGGGCGGAACAAGTGGAAAGTGGGCTCCTGTATAGATGCACGGTGTGTGCAGAAACCAGGAAACCAGTAGATGTGCCCTGGGCTGAGGGATGCCTAGAGCCCCCTGGCAGCACCATCCCTGTGGTTAATCCTGAGGGGAATTACTGTACCTGCCAGGAGGAGAAGATGAGCAGCAATGATCAAGACGCAAAGAGCCTTGTCAGAAGAGTGCTGTCCAGGGCCACACATGAACCTCTTCATTCTTTAGGTATGTTCTGAAAGAAAGATGTTGGTGAGCACCTACTACCACATGCTTGGCTGAGAAATTCAAACTGCTTCTGCAATTTGGCATTCACAGCACAGGAGCCCAGAAGTCCTCACTCCCCGTGACCGAGCTGAATCACTAGATCAGTAGTCTCTGTAAAGGCCCCAGCTACAGAAACTGACTGGTTTCTGCTGGTTTCTAAATGAGATGAGGTTTACGCAATTACACTGTGCATGTTTTGTCCATTGGTCACAACTCTGCAAACCTGTTAGCAGCTTTCAACCTGCTTTTTTTTTGACAAAAGGAGTCCATGACTGAAGTGTTGAAGTTCCTACAAATGTGGGGAAACAAGAAGAGAAAGCCCTACCAGTGAGGTCAAGCTGGATGTTAGAGGGATGTAACCCATGCGGTATGGACCCACAGTTACACTCCACAGGCTCTCGTGGGATGGGAGACTGGAGAGCAGCAGATCAGGCAAGAGACACAGAGAAGCACAACACACGGCTGCCCACAGACAGCACAGTCAAAAAATGTATTCGTTCTCACCACTGGGCTTTGTCTACAAACAAACGTTCATCAGTTTAATTGAGCCCTAGGAACATACTCGTAACCAGGGAAGGGCTAGTTCCAGAGTATAAACATACATTGAACACTTAAAGCAAAATTAAGATATGCCACTCTAAATTGGAAGGAGATTGTCCTCTTTTGTGCTTCAGTCTGATTAAATTTGCTTCCAAGATGACTGTAATTAGGCCAGAGCAACTGAGTGGACAGACAACCTCGATGCCCAAGAGCCCCGGACGCATTCCTAGAGCCCTGCACCCACAGCTGCAGGGCTCTGCTTTCCC